TTGGCTGCATGTTTTTCTCGTTTAGTACTCTGAATATATCATGCCAGCTCTTTCTGGCCTGCCAGGTCTCTGTGGATAAGTCTGCTGCCAATCTAATATTTTTACCATTGTATGTTACAGACTTCTTTTCCCGGGCTGCTTTCAGTATTTTCTCTTTGTCACTAAGACTTGTAAATTTTACTATTAGGTGACGGGGTGTGGACCTATTCTTATTGATTTTTGAGGGGGGTTCTCTGAACCTCCTGGATTTTGATGCTTGTTCCCTTTGCCATATTGGGGAAATTCTCTCCAATAATTCTCTCCAATATACCTTCTGCTCCCCTCTCTCTTTCTTCTTCTTCTGGAATCCCAATTATTCTAATGTTGTTTCGTCTTATGGTGTCACTTATCTCCCGAATTCTGCCCTCGTGGTCCAGTAGCTGTTTGTCCCTCTTTTGCTCAGCTTCTTTATTCTCTGTCATTTGGTCTTCTATATTGCTAATTCTTTCTTCTGCCTCATTTATCCTAGCAGTGAGAGCCTCCATTTTTGATTGCACCTCATTAATAGCTTTTTTTATTTCAACTTGATTAGATTTTAGTTCTTTTATTTCTCCAGAAAGGGCTTTTATATCTCCCGAGAGGGTTTCTCTAATATCTTCCATGCCTTTTTCGAGTCCGGCTAGAACCTTGAAAATCGTCATTCTGAACTCTACATCTGACATATTACCAATGTCTGTATTGATTAGGTCCCTGGCCTTTGGTACTGCCTCTTGTTCTTTTTTTTTTTTGTGGTGAATTTTTCTGCCTTGTCATTTTGTCCAGATAAGAGTATATGAAGGAGCAAGTAAAATACTAAAAGGATGGCAACAACCCCAGGAAAATATGCTTTAACCAAATCAGAAGAGATCCCAAATCGTGTGGGGGGAGAAAGGGGATAAAAAGAGGTTCAGAAAGAAAAAAAAAAATGAAACAATTAAAAGAAGAAAACGAATAAAGAAAAAATATAGAAAGGAAAAATATATATATATATATTAGATAAACTAGTTAAAAAACGTTAAAAAAGAAAAGGGTAAAAGTTAAAAAAATTTAGCAGGAGAAGAGAAAAAAAATTGAAAAAGAAGAAAAAATTAAATTAACTGCAAGGCTAAAGAATCATGGGGAGAAAGCCATGAGTTCCGTGCTTTGCTTTCTCCTCCTCTGGAATTCCGCTGCTCTCCTTGGTATTGAAACTGCACTCCTTGGTAGGTGAACTTGGTCCTGGCTGGGTTTCTTGTTGATCTTCTGGGGGAGGGGCCTGTTGTAGTGATTCTCAAGTGTCTTTGCCCCAGGCGGAGTCGCACTGCCCTTACCAGGGGCCGGGCTGAGTAATCCGCTCGGGTTTGCTTTCGGGAGCTTTTGTTCACTGAGCGCTTTCCGTAGAGTCCGGAGGACGGGAGTGAAGATGGCGACCACCCAGTCTCCGGCCCAGAGGAACCGAGAGTCTGGGGCCCCACTCCTCCGTGCGTCCTCAGAGAACAGCGCCCAATTACTCCGTCACCCTGGCCTCCGGCCGCGTTCCGAGCTGACCGAGCCTGCGACCGGTTCAAGGTAACCCCGAGCTTAAAGCTCACTCCTTGGCTCTGTCTCTGTAGCCGGCTTCCCCGTTCTAATACCTGTAAGCTCTGCGACACTCAGACACCCCCGATCGTTCTGACCCTGCAGGACCTGAGGCCACGCTGACCCCGCGTGCGCTTCACCCCGGTTAAGCCTCTGGAGCGATGTCCCTCAGCGGAACAGACTTTTAAAAGTCCTGATTTTGTGCTCCGTTGCTCCGCCGCTTACCGGGAGCTGGGCCCTCCCCCCGCGGTCTATCTTCCTGTCGCTTTGGATTCACTTCTCTGCCAGTCCTACCTTTCAGAAAGTGGTTGATTTTCTGTTTCTAGAATTGCTGTTCTTCTCTTCGATCTCCCGTTGGATTTGTAGGTGTTTGCAATCTTTAGATAAGCTATCTAGCTGATCTCCCGCTACCTGAAGTACTACTGCTACTTCTCCGCCATCTTGACTCCTCCCCAAAGGGTACGTTTTAAAAAGCCACCTGCACAGCACTCCCTCAGAGAAGTCACCCACCCTGTGAGCGCCCCCCCCATTTTGCTGCTCCCCTCAATGTAGCCCAAAGTGTAGAACTTTGTGTTTATAATTCCCTTCTTTTCATTTTCAAAAATGTGTAGGTTTCCATTCCCCAAAACGACTATGTTCAAGGTGATCAGGACCCTCTAAACTCTACACAATGGAATCACGCGTACATATTCTTCTGGATTTGCTTTCTTCCTTTAACGTCGTGTCGGGGAGGTTGAACCGTGTCCACAGGTTCACTGCGCTCAGTTCTGCATGTAAGTCTACTGGGGGACAGAGGTACAAGGATTTCTCTAGGGTGTACCTCTAAGAGCGATGTTGCTGAGTCGCAGGGAAAGGCACTTCCGACAAGACAATGCCGAGTTGTTTTCCAAAGTGGGTATATCAAGTTACAAGCTAACACAGCATTTTAGTAAACTTTGTCAATGCTTGGCATTTTCAGGTTTCTGAATGCTTGCCAATCTGGTGAGTGTACAGTGGCCTCTTATTGTGGTTTTATTTTGCATTTTTTTGGATACTAATGAGATTGAGCATCTTTTCATATGTTTATTGGCCATTTATGTTTTCTCTTGGGTGAAAGGCCTATTCATGCTTTAGTTCATCTTTCTGTTGGTCCTTTGTCTGTGTCTTATTAATTTGGAGAAGCTCTCTATAGATTCTGGACAGTAATCCTTCATCAGGAATGTGTGACGGATGGCCTCTCCCAGCTCAAGGCTTGTCTTTTCATTTTTTTTGTTTTTGTGGTATCCACTAATGAACAGAAGCTTTTATTTTCATACAGGCAAATTTATGAATCTTTCCCCTGAAGATTTGCACTTGTCATGACTTGTTAAAAATTCCTTCCCTACCCCAAAGTGATTTCCCTACCCTTTACCCGTACTCCATTTAAATATTACACAACTGTTGAGAACTGCCATTCCCCATGTTCAGACACTAAAGAATGATTGGGGGTAACTGGCTCCTGGTAGAGAACTGAACACAAGTATTTATCCCCACCTCCTTCTCATGGTTCCATTGAAGCGGCAATGAAGAAGTATACAACGGGGCGGGGGTCCATAATCACATTAAAATGGGGCAAGGAATAGCAGCAAACCCAGGATAACAGCAAAGAAACCAGGAGAGCAGCAAATCCGGGAAACCATATTGACCCCGCAGCACAGTGCTCGCTTCAGCAGCACATATACTAAAATTGACCCTGTAGCACATTGGGAGCCACAGTCCAGAATGTGTGTAGAAGGCTGAAGGGGATGCCTGGGTGGCTCAGTAGGTTAAGCGTCTGCCTTAGGTTCAGGTCATGGTCCCAGGGTCCTGGGATCAAGCCCTGCACTGGGGCACCCTACTCAGCGGGGAGCTTGCTTCTCCCACTCCTCCCTGCTCTTGCACTCTCTCATTATCTCTGTCACTATCTCTTTCTCTCTCTCTCTCTCTCTAATAAATAATACAATCTTTAAAAAATAAAAATAATTTTTAAGAAAAGAAACTATTAAAAAGAAGGCTGACATGGATTGGGCGCCATTCTCCCTGCAAAAGGCCAGAGCATTCAGGCCGGGGGAGAGGGAGTGGGATGAGGGCAGAAGTCAGGGTGAGAGCTACTCCTGGGGCTGCTGCATCCACCTTTTCCCTACCCTTACCACTATAAAGAAACTGAGGTGTCACTAGGAAGGGGGAGTTTTGCCGTGTGGCCTCTGACCTGGAGTAAAACCATCGTGGTTGTGGCATTGCAGTGAACATGGGCTGGGCTGCCCAGACTCCCGCCTGCTGGGTCTGCCCAAGCAAGATCTGCCGGTCAACACTGACGGCCCGCCCAGCCACTGCGGGAAAGAGCCACATACCAGGGGAGAAAACACAAGGAAATCACATAGATATGGATCTAAGCTCTAACCAAACTGGCTCTTTATCCACAGATAAAAACTGGCCACCAAAAAAATCACCAGACTTTTGAGAAGACACAGCAGCACACACACATAAGGGGAGAGAGAGAAAGAGGTGGGGGGGAGGCGGTGAACAAAGAGAAGTGGCCCCCCAAAAATAAACAGCATTCACAGAACTGAAGAGAACTTTTTAGAGTCTATATTAAAACAGAAATAGTCTACGGAGACTTCATCCCTAAGACAGGAGTGTCATTTCATTTAAGAAAGAAAGGCGGAGAATCTGAAAGAGAAGAATTGGTAATTGGTGACTATGGACAGAATTAAACACAACACCAAAAGCTTTTGGTTAAAAGGCTGAAAGAGCAGAACTGTTTGTGTCAATTGGCCATTTAAGTTTAATAGTAAAAGACTGGTTAATGATAACAATGCATCGTAAAACCTTCAGAAGGAAAGGAGAAGGTTTTGTGGACCATTTGTTTGTGTGTGTGTGTGTGGCAGTTTTAAGTTATTAGTTTTTAAAATCAGTACTTTTTAATGGAAACAACTGGACCAAAAATCTGTCACAGAATGTTGAGACCCATTAAAACAAAAGTTTAATGAGAAAAAAAAAAAGGCTGAAAGAGGGGTGTCTGGGGTGCTCAGTCGGTTAAGCATCTGCCTTCAGCTCAGGTCATGATCCCAGAGTCCTGGGATCAAGCCCCACGCCGGGCTCCCTGCTCAGCGGGGAGTCTGCTTCTCCCTCTCCCTCTGCACACAATAATTTGGGGGACTGAATCCTTCACACTAAAAGACAAAATATCTGTTTATTCATCTATTCAACAACTATGCACTGAGCACCTACTGCAGGGCAGGTACTGTGCTAGGTGCTAGCGCTATGGCAGTGAGTATCCACAGTCCGCGCTTTCGGGAGCTTACAGTTCAGGGAGGAAGACAGACATTATCACACCAATAGCTAAGTAGGTAATTGACTGTAACTGTCCAGAGTACTTCCAAGGAAAGATGAACAGTACTTCATGAGCATATCCCTGCTACACCTACCTCTAATAGGGGTGTCGGATCTCGGTGGGTCTTTCCTCCAGGATGGGACAAAAACTTTGATGTAGGTGTGTCCTCTGTCCCTGAACCAGTCCACAGCCAGCTGGATTCCCCGGCAAGAGAAGGCTTCTTTATTTCCATGGCTACAAAGGGAAAACAAAGAAATCTGTAGCGTCACAGAAAGGGTTCCCAAAGAGTGATTTCCCCTGATCGTATCCTGAATCACAGTCTCCTAATCAAAGGGAATCAGGAAAATCTGCATTTTAAAATAGTTCGTTCTTTGCAAAAAGTGTATCCCTTAACTGGCACTATGCAGCGTGTGGTGGTACGTATGTGGAGAGGGTACTGGGCTCCAAGGGATGTGCGTTCCGAGGAGGAATAGACAAGAACCCCCTTTTCACCTGAAGCTGGTAAGGATCAAGACGGGATGGAGGAGAGTGGCTGTCTGCAGAATGCTCTTATCCTAAGAGAGGGGTGTCAGTGTGTTATGGGGCTCCCCAAGTCCAAGTAAGGAGGCCAATGTGCCCCCCAAATGCCCCTGAAGTGTGTTATGGGGCTCCCCAAGTCCAAGTAAGGAGGCAAATGCACCCCCCAAATGCCCCTGATGGAAGCAGGAAGGAGAGAGCAGCGTGAGAGGAGGCCCAAGACCAGGCAGGGCTTTGCGTGCCTTCCTGAAGGCTTTCTTCCCCTAAGACCAATGAGAAGCCATAGAAGGATTTGAAGACTGGGGGGTCGGCGTGATGAGACGTGATCCAATCCTGGGTATGTTTCCCAAAGCTGCAGCACAGCGGACGTTAAATTGGAAAGGAGCAAAGTGGGGGTGAGGTCCCAGATAAGAAGTTGTCACAGTCATCACAGCAAAACTAGATAATGACGTGGGCCGCATGGGTGGTGTCGGAGAAGGGAGAAGGGGAGGTGAACCTGAGAGATATTTAGAAGAGAAAAATCTCTAGAATGTGGTGACTGACAGGATAAAGGATGATAGAGAAGAAGGCTCTGAGGAGGCCTCCAGAACTCTGGCTTGTGCAGCTGTGGGCTCCCAGTTGACCCAGGGCGTTCTGGAGGAGGACAGGGTGTGGAGGGAAAGATTTCTGTCATGGACACACAGCAAGGGGGAGAAGCCTCTGTGAGGTCTGGGTGGAAAGGCTAAGGATACAGCTGGGGTCTAGAAGAGAGTTCTGGGCGATGCGCTCACACAGCGGCTGGAGCCGTGGCATGGAGAGAATGGCCTGGCTCCCTGGAGGGAGAGCAAGAGGCCTGGAAGATGGGTCTGGGGGCACTCTGGGACTCAGCAGCTGGTTATGGGGAGAGTGGGGCAATCTCACAGGAGAGACAGAAAGGGTCTACCAGGTCACAAGGAAGTTAACCAGAGGAGGCCGGCACTGTGCAAGCCACAGGAAAGAAGCAGCTGGGTGCTTCTCAGAGGGACCCACGAAGTCTGAAAACATCCCTCAGACTGAGTCTGTGCAGGTCAGTGATGTTTTGCTGGCGAGGGAGACAAGTAGATAGACCTGAGATAATGACACTGCAGAATCAGACTTAGCCCTGGGTGCCATTCAGCCTGGCCTCAAGGTGAGGTCACTCTCTGCTCTGCTTCCTGCCCAGCCACCTGCACAGCCTGCAGCCCTGTATCTTGGCAGGCACCTTCTCCACGCCTACCGCAGGACCTTTGAACCGGATATTTCTTATCCTCTTGGCCTGGTCCATGCCTCCTTCTCCTTCAGGTCTCACCTTCATCTCTACTTCCTCAGGAAAGCATCCCCGGACCCTCATTCTGAGTCCTCAGGGGACTAATCCCAGTTGAAGGATGACACCCACCCTAGGAGGAACAGGTCTCCCCCTCTCCTAAGTCACAAGCTCCTTTTGCTGCCCGCTGAATTCCCAGCACCTGCCATGGTGCCCAATGATGGGTAGCAGGTCAGTAAAAATGTGTTGAGTACATGAGTGGCTAAGAAGACACAGGTCCTTTGAGCAGCTAGAGGAGGAACAGCCCCAGGGGAAGAGTTGGCTAGAAAGACTTCAACACAGGGAAGGCTTGGCATGCCTAGGGACCAAAGAGAGAACAGAGTGACTGGAGGCAGGGAGAGGGGGCAAAGGGGAGAGTTGTATGGGTTCTCAAAGAGCCGAGGGTCACTGGGACCGCTGTCTGCTGAGAAGCCTTGCCTCCAGCAGCCCGCCTACATCCAGACAAGGACAACGCTCCCGATTTTCATGCTGGCAGTTTGTCTTGGGCACAGCCCCTCCTGCTGTTACCTCTGAGGGGCCAGGAGAGGTCCGGGTTTGCAAGAGAAAAACGGGAGTCTCTTGCAAATCCATAGTAGTGCAAGTCAGGCTTTGTGGAGAGACCGAAGGAGAACTTGGAACTGCTTGGGTTCCAGGGACGATCAGGAACCAGGCCTTGTGTCCTATATCAGTAGTGTCTTCCAGTTTAGAGAAAATAGCCCTCTGGCCACGGAGGGAGGCTGATGCAAACACTAGGGAGAAAAAATGTCAACGTCTGTGGTGAAAGGAAGAGGAAGTGGACAGCGCGTCCCTCTGCCCCAGTGGAAGCTGAAAAAAGAAAGGCGACGGAGGGAGAAAGAAGGGGCCCTTCCCAGGGCCCTCACCCCTGCATTCCTCAACTGCTCTACCCCCGAGCCAGAAGCAGAGGGGTCAGGGTAGAAACCTCAGGATGGGTGCAAAGAGGAGGCGGAAGGCTTTTGGAGAAATCCTGGTTTTAGCAGAAGCAGCCTCCCAGGGGGCTATGAGGGTGCCTTGGAGGAAAGGGGCAGACAGGTGAGCTGGAAGCAACATTTCTGGATCCCTTGCATGCCCGCAGACCTGGTGGATTGTCTGAGGCCTGGGGATGGACAAACAGGCCCCTGGAGGGGGACAGAACTGTAAGCCAGGACGGCATCCCAAAAGGCCAAATGGGACCAATGACATTTCTCCGCTGACCCTTCTAGAAGCCAGGCCAAGCCAGACCAGCCACCCTTTAGCAGAGACCAGTGAGGGTCCCAGACCCCCCTCTCCCAGCCAGCATCAGGTCTCTAAGCCTCCAGATGCCATTTGCAAGAAGAGCACGGGAGAGGAAAATGAATCCCAAATCATCCAGAAGGCAGAAGACACTGAGATATCACAAATTGGTAAGTTTAGGTTTGCTCTCTCTGCTACCTAAACAGGTAGGGAAGAGATAGCATCTTCCCCAGAAAAGGTCTATTTTCTGTGCATATTAAAGCAGGAATGTGAACAACTAAAGACACTTCATCCCCAAACATGCCTCTGTCGGTCACAACGAGGTCTCCCCTCCATCAGTTCCCTAGTAAACATATCACTGCCACAATTCTTTTAAAATGGTTTCGTGAGTTCTCTCTTTTCTGTTACTTCCCGTCTGTTTCTGTGACTGCACACCTTTGTGGGTAGGTGGCTGGAGGGGCCACATTCAGTGATGAGGCTGAGCCCAGTCCCTCTGAAGAGGCAAAGGTGAGCAGGGCAATGAGTTCTGGTGATGGGCAGGACCGCAGACAGCAGGGGCCCTCCTGGGGGCACGTGGAGGGGAAGGAGTAGTAGTTCAGGAGTTCAGAAAGAGAAAAACTGAGGAATGGTGCTACCATCCATTGGTGCTACCATACCATTTTGCTGCTTCGTGCAGCAAAAACGGGTCCCATGGCCTCTTTCACACAAGACTCCAAGATGGCGGACCCTTAGCCAAGAGTTTCAAAAGGGCAACAAATACCGTGAAGTCCAGGAGAAGATGGAATAAACACACATCAGCTCGTAGCCTTTCTTCCCTCCCTAAGAAGTGTTCTCCCTTCCAGCTTTCACTCCAGGTAAGGGAAGTCAGGGACTAAACCCTAGAGTCACTTAAGCTGTTGTCTCTGGAATGGAGGGTTTTTATTCAGGTCCGTGGTTCTGCAGGACTGGATTCCCACACACCCCACCCCAACCTCCCCTCTGAGCCTTCTGGTCTCTTTTGAGATGTGGAGACTATTATTGTTCAATCCTTGCCATATATATATGTTTTTTTTTTTAACCAACCTCAAAACCCCATTATGGCTGCCCTATTTTTGACCACAGAAAGCCCCAGGCCATGGCAGGATTGAAGCCACAAGCAGGGACCACCTTCTCACTGAGTTGGCAGTCAGGCAAGAAAGGAGTCAGGCAAGAAAGCCCCACGGTTGCCCTAGGACCACACCTCTCGGCACACAGATGAAAATGCAGAAGCCAAAAACACCTTCTCCTTTGTGCAGTCCTCCACTCACTCAACATTGATTTGTGAGCAAGGCTCTGTGCTGAGTCCTCAGAGACCAGTGAACAGGACAGTCCTCATTCCTGCTTCCTGGAGCTCATGTTTAATATTTGTGGAGTCATATGTACCGGGCCACTTGGCACTCAGCGCTCCAATCATTACAAGGAGCCCCTGAGGAAGTGACCATCCTTCCACTGTACCCTTGAAGAAACTAAAGAAAAGAAATGTGTCCAATTCCCTGATCTAATGACAGGTCTCAGAGCCCGACCTGTGGGGTTGCAAACTCCTCTGCCTCCATCTCTTATCCCAAGTGTTCCTGCCCCTCCCAGTCCCTGTCTGTGGAAGCAAGACAGTAATTCTTTTGGAGCTTAAGTCACCTGCTGTTACAAGGCTGGCATTGGGGGGAAGGACCTTAGCTCGCTTATTTATTTATTTATTTATTTATTTATTTATTTATTTATTTGACAGAGAGAGAGAGAGAGAGAGATCACAAGTACACAGGCAGAGAGAGAGAAGGAAGCAGGCTCCCCACCGAGCAGAGAGCATGATGTAGGGCTCGATCCCAGGACTCTGAGATCATGGCCTGAGCCAAAGGCAGAGGCTTAACCCACTGAGCCACCCAGGCGCCCCAGGACCTTAGCTCTTATTAACAGTCACTGCAACCAGCAACCCTGGCAGCTGAGAGCCAGGCCCTGGGAAAAGGAGACAGAGGAGGGTGGTTTTGAATAAAGGGAGAGTGGTAAGGGGAAGTGGGCATCTGCCTGAGGCAGGCTTTGTCTGCAAGACAATCCCGCCTGGGGCAGCCAGGTTTCTGCAGCCCTTTACGGGGAGGAGCCCACCTCACAACTCATCACTTGCCCAGTAGGTTCTGCAGAAGTCAGCAACTCACAGAACCGTCCCTTGGAGCATGCGGTGGCGGTGGCGGGGCGGGAGGAAAGGAAAAGAGAAGTGGTGGTCCCTTTAGAGCATGAGCTGTGAAGGCACGCCACTCTTTCCACTCCGTTTCTTATTTGGAACCTGGAGTTTATAGCCTTTACCCCAAAAGATCTTTCCCCAGCTCACGTCAGGGGGAAGAGAGAGGGTGGCCTCTGGAAGAGGGGTCACCTTCATCTCAGAGAAGGAGAAACAGGTGCAGACCTAGCCAGCATAGGTCAGAGGCAACTCAGGAGCTCCATAGCAGGTGTGGCCCCCAGCCTTGGAGGGCAGCCTCCACTAGTAACCCATGGGGGTGGGGGAGGAGGTTGAGGAACCCCCACCCCCTTGCAAGCCTGAGGTCTGATCACTGAAGATTCGTGACTCCAGAATAAGTCAGATTCTGTTGAGGTTTCCAAGAGTTTAAAAATGTACATGAGAACCCAAACAAAAAGCCCTGTGCACCCCAAAATGAGGGCCCATTTACACGAAACCCTCGTCTGGGGGCAGCAAGAGGATGTGAAATTATCAGGTGGTTTTTCGCCCAAGCTGAAGTCCTTCCAATCTCTCTTTTCCGGCATTTGCCTACAGAATGCACCACCCAGGAGGCGGCAGTCAGCCCTGAGAAGCCGCGCAGCTCCTAACACACAGTCGACGAAAGCCACCGTCTGGTTCAAGACTGCTGGACCCTGTCCTCAGGGTCAAGTGCGACGCCCTTGAGTACACTGAGACCACACCCTCCTCTCTCCGGTATGGACATGCGTGCACATATGCACAGGCCCACCCACGCCCCTTGAAGGTGCTGGGACTGTGCAGGCAAATCAGTCTTTGCTCAGCTCCGCCAGAGCCACGGGTCAGTGCACATGTGCGGCCCTTGGCACACGTTCCCAACATGCTGGCAGCAGCAGGAGAGGCGTCCTGGGCACCGGTCCTGCAAAGACCACCTGCCCCCTGGTGTGGGAGTGACGGTACCCAGCAAAACCTGTCTGCAGCAGCCAAGTCAGGGCTCATCCTGCCTGGGAAGGGCTCTGGTCCACACAGGCAGCCTCTGGCGCCAGAATAGAAGTCCATGGGGTCAGTCTCCCACTCTGAGACACTTTCAAAGGCTGGAAAGCCAAAGCTGCACAGCACTAGAGAAAGTGCAGGACTTTGGGAAGAGCTCTGGAAGCAGAGCCTGGCACTTAACAGCTCTGTGACCTTGGGCCAGTAACCTATCCTCTCTGAACCTCTGCAGAAGAAGAGAAATTCCTTCATAAGAAAAAGGCTTTTAATGCATAAAATAATCACCTTGAATCCTAGAATGTTGCTGGTGGAAAGCCACTGAAGATGATGTTGATAATGATGATTTCATCCAACCTCTTAATTGTATAAACAGGGCTCAAAAAGTAAGGTGACCCACTCCAAGGTCACACAGCTGAAAAGCTAGACCTGTACTGTCCAACACATAGGCACTCACCACAGTTGGCTATTTACATTTAAATTCAAATTAACTTGGGGCACCTGGGTGGCTCAGTGGGTTAAGCCGCTGCCTTCGGCTCAGGTCATGATCTCAGGGTCCTGGGATCGAGTCCCGCATCGGGCTCTCTGCTCAGCAGGTTGTCTGCTTCTCCCTCTCTCTCTGTCTGCCCCTCTGCCTACTTGTGATCTCTGTCTGTCAAATAAATAAATAAAATCTTAAAAATAAATAAATAAATAAATTCAAATTGACTCAGATTAACTCAAATTTAAAATTCAGGTCCTTGGTCACAATAGCCACATTCCAAGTGCTTAGTAGCCCCATGTGTCCAGTGGCCATCGTAATGGACAGTGCAGGTATAGAATTTCCATCATCAAAGGGAGTTTTTTTGGGCAGGTCTCAGCTAGAGGTCAGGACTGAGAGCTTCAGACTCTCGTTGGCTCCTAGGGGCAGCAAGGACATGTGCTCCAATCTGCCTTTTAAGTCCTTCCCCACTTCTTCCAGGGCCAGACAGCAGATGAAGCTGTAGCCTCTTCAAAAGCAAAGAATGGGCAAATCTGTGATGCTACAAAACCTCAGGAAAGGAGAATTTTCAGAAACCATGTGTCTGAGGTTAACTGAGTTTTGAGGTTAGCAGATCATAACTAGACACTATGTTGGTTTTCAAACTACCCATTGCCTCTAAAGGGTGAGCCCCACACTGAAATCTGTCCTTTGCAACTGGGACTGGGTGGAGCCTGAAGGTCATGGGTTATGTGGAAGCTGGCTGGAGGACACAGTAGGAGGACACTGTCGTCGGAGAAAGAGCAGGGGATGGGGTAGGACCTCAAACCCCAGCATCTCCCAGACTTGCCCCTGAGCAAACCAAGTCCCACCCACCAGCTGGTGGTTGTGCAGCGTATCTTTTTTCCTAACTAAGGATGCAGGGGGCTGGGGAAAGGGATGGGATGTTTGTGTGCGTATAGACACACGCGTGCGTGCACAGATATGTCCACACGCTGAGACCTCACACAGACACACGTGTGCTCATTGACTGAGATGCTGTTTAGGCAGCAAGTGTGTGGAAGCATTAGAGCTCTGACACACTCTTTATAACAAGCTTGAGTGATGGCTTTCATTTGTCACCCACACAGATGGAGCGTGAAGGGGTTAAATGGATGACAACGGTGGGAGGTGGGAGTAGGAATAAATGGGTTTATCTGGAATGCATCGTGGTCTGCCCACACTTTCCTGTAGCACCTGACATAGTCCTTCTAGCCCATAGCTATTCTTCTGATCTGGGATCACAGAGCTGGTACAATCTTAGGGCTGGAAAGGTCTTCACTTTAAGAAATACCCTTTTAGGGGCGCCTGGGTGGCTCAGTGGGTTAAAGCCTCTGCCTTTGGCTCAGGTCATGATCCCAGGGTCCTGGGATCAAGCCCTGCATTGGGCTCTCTGCTCGGCAGGAGCCTGCTTCCTCTTCTCTCTCTGCCTGCTTCTCTGCCTACTTGTGATCTCCGTCTGTCAAATAAATAAATAAAATCTTAAAAAAAAAGAAAATACCCTTTTACCTTTAAAACTTCCTTTCTAAGATCTCCAGAAGGAAAGGGGACTCGTCCTGCTTGGAGGCCAGGTCCCCCTCACAATCCTCAGACTTTCCAGGACACTCAGAACCTTAAAAATTCTTAAAAGTCCTTCCAACTCTCCCTGGGATCTCGAATTAAGCAGGATTTCATAGGCTGACCTGTCAGGTCCCTACACGGGAGCATGTGTGCTGATGTCCCAGAGAGCCCAGGTGCAGCCCAGGGTGACCAGGCTGGCTCAGTCTTGACCCAATACTCTCAGGACACGTGGAGCAGGACCCCTAGGGACAGTACCCAGAGCTGGGCCATTCTGGGTGGAACCATTCCAAACTTCTGTCTTGCAGTGCCAAGTTCCAAGTGAGCCCCAGCCCCCTGGGGAAAGCCACTAGATCTGCCAGCCAAAGGACGGACACCCTCCTGACTCATTCAGCACTGTGGATCACACAGCTTTTGTCAATTCCAGCCAGTGGCTCAGCGTTTGAAAGGAGAAGTCATCTGTTTACAGCTACGAGGGACCGATTTCCTACAGATCTGCCCTTTGCCGGCCTGTAACTCAAGCCCGTAGCACAAAACTGCCCTTATGTGAATACAGTCTCCTCCTTGCCCCACGTGGAGTGTGGCTGAGACTGTGAGATTGTCTCTAAGCTGAATGTAGCCATGCAGGCATCAGGCGCTCGTTGCGGAAACACACAAAGATGCCCAGACCACTGTGTCTGCAGCTCACAGGCCACAGGTGCCTGTCTCAGACGAGCTGGGGAACCACAGCACCACCAGCCACCTGTAGGGAGCAGCCCCCAGGAGACAGCTTGCTACTCAAGCACCTTTTCCCATCTGGTTCTAGCTACCCTGAGAGAGGCTGCACAGCTATCTATCTATTAGCCTGTGTCCCAGAAGACACTTGAGGTGCTGTGACTTTCCCAGTCCCACAGCTGCTCAGGGAGACTCTAGCTGAGAAGCCACAATCTGCCACCGCCCAACGCCAGGCTCCTCCCTGGTTACCCACAGCCCTCCTCAGTAGAGAGCCTCTCCCTGGGTTAATATGAAAGCAGGAACTACCTACTGAACGCTTACTCTTTGTCAGGCACTGTCCTAGGCACTGGGTGCGGCTCCAGGTCTTACAACTACCTTCTAGGAAGGTTTTATACCCACAGTACAGATGGAAAAAGTGAGGCTCAGAGAGATTAAGTGACTTAACTAAAGGCGCACAGCTACCAAGGGTATGGAACGGGGATTCAAAGCCCATCTGTTAGCCCCAAAACTCTTTTGACCAAACCACTGGAAAGAGGGACTGTCCTCCCAACCCTGAGGCTACAGGATGAAGGGAAGTACCTCATTGCCACGTTGCTGCCATCGATCACTATGGGTCGCAAGGAACCGGCGAGGCCTCCGCAGTCCTCTTCCAGCTCCGCCGCTGGCCTGCGCTGGACAGAGTCCAGGGCCGCGCAGGAGCCCCTGGGAACGAGCAGGGGCGCCCCGCTGCCCTCACCGGCTGCCGGGCGACTGCCGGTCTGGATCAGCTCCCGCAGCACGTCGTTGACCAGGGCGCCCTCCCCCAGTTTGCCCAGCACTCTGACCACATCCTCCCTGCTGTAGCCCAGCTTCTGGAAGAACTCCATCTTGCTTGAGCGCTCCATGCTGCGGCAGCTGGGCCCCCGGTTCCTTCTGGGAGGGCCACGCGGTCATGAGCTAAAGAGAAAAAGCCTCCATCAGGTGTTTTGCGAGCCGCCTGGCTTGGAGACTGTCGGGTTACTGAGGGCAAATTCTGCACACTCCCTCCCCGCCTTATCTGTCAGGAAATCATGTTGCCTGGTCCCCTTGGGGATTTTCGGTTGCTCAGTGTGGTTGGGGAGCTGCAGATGCAATCGTGCTGCTTTTACTAGAGCACCTCTGAGGCCTTCAGCCCCCTACCCCAGGACCCTCCCCCCGCCCAAGGACCCTCTGGTCAGAGACACCGAGGGCAGCTGAGCAGACCACCCAACGCTGGGAACATTTGTGCAGGACAGGCCAGAGGAATGTTCCTGAGGCTCCGTCACTCCGTCCTGCGCTAAACAGCAGCCCCACCCCCCAAATTCATACGCTGAAGCCCTATCTCCCAGTCCCTCAGATTGTGACTCTGTTGATTAAGTTAAAATAAGAGTTGATTAAGTTAAAATGAGGTCATTAGGGTGATCCCTGATCCAATATGACTAGTGTCCTTATAAGAAGAGGAGAGTTAGGGATGGCTAGGTGACTCAGTCCGTTAAGCCTTGGACTCTTGGTTTCTGCTCAGGTCATGATCTCAGGGTCTTGAGATTGAGGCCAGCTCTGCGCTCAGTGGGGAGTCTGTCGCCCCCCCCTTTCCACTGCCCCTCCCCCCGCCACTGTGTGCACGCTCTCTTTCTAAAATAAGTAGATCTTAAAAAAGAAAGGGTCATAAAATTATAGTTCCTGTGAAGAAAAATGAAACAATGCTCAAGCAAAAAGAATAAAAAGATACAATGCCTCTTCCTACAAACTCCAAATCCCACTTGCCTCTCCTGCTCTTTGTATCCTTCCGGTGCTTTTCCGATGTCCTGGCTTGCGGATCCAATAGACCCACATATACACTGTCTTAGTGGGGTTGTTTTTCCATAAATAGATGAGTATTCAGCCACTTGCTTTTCTTATTTTCTTATTAAAAATGCCTCTGGGAACCCTTTCTGTGCCAGTATATCTGTTCCGGGGTTTGCTGTATTCCCTGCATCGAGGACAGCGCCTGGCCCAGTGGACTCTCCACGCAGATTTGCCCAGTGAACGTGGTGAGTAACTGTCCGCTAGATGATGGAAGCAGAGCTTGCCTTCCCTTTGCTCCTGTTACAGATCAGGCTCAGCGCACCCCTGCACGCACCCAACCTGTCACCTGCCCTCTTCCCAGCAGCACAGGTGCCCTACCTCCCCTCCCTAGTCTCCTGCCCACACCTTGGCAGCAACCACGACTTCCTACCAGGTTCTCAGCGGGGCTCCCCGTTCTCTGCAGGGCCACTCCGCTGAGGCTGGAGCCCCAACTCAACGGCCCCCCCACCGGCTCTGGCAGGAATAGGGCTTCGGCAGCTGAATCCAACAACAGCTTCCAGGGCCTTAGGCAAACTCTCCTCTGTTCTCAACGTCTCGGGACCACACCCTCGCATATAATTTTAAATCAAAACATTTGGAAAACATTTTGAACCACTTCTTCCTGAAACTCTTCTCCCTGACGCCCTACAACTTGGCCTGAGTCTTCTAAGTCTGTCCAGCTCTTTCTTTGGTCTCTGCTCATGTGTTTGACGATGAGGTCCTGCCCAGGCAGTCTGCTCTCCCAGTCATGCTCCTTACTTGCCCTTGCCCTTACATTGCCCTCACACACACACACACACACACACACACACACACACCAGCCTCCGGACCCTGAGCGGGTGTGGGCAGGGGGAGGGCTGTCCACGGCTGCACTTCGGGCTGAGACCTCGCTAAGCACCAGGCACCTCTCCCCCGCACCACGTTATAAATCTGTGAGGCAAATGGCATGTGTGCTATTTGAATGAAGTGTCCGGGGAGCTCAGAATCACTTGCCCAACATTTGCTGAGTCTACTTCAGTGCTTGTCTAAGTGTGGTCCGTGGAAATTCAGGGAAGGCCTAAGACCCTTTCATGAAATCTTCAAAGTAAAAACTGTTTTCATAGTAACACTAAGGTTATTTGCTTTTTTTTTTCCCCACCGCTCTCATCCTTACCAGTACATCATGAAGTAAGTGTTCCTGAGAGCAGGTGTGGTGTGATGTTGCAGCAGAGTGAACGCAGAAGGCGAGAGGCAAACCCAGTCCCTTTCTTTTAAGCCACATATTAGAGATTTGCACAGTGTAAATCAGTGCCAGTCTCCTTACACATTTTCTCGTTTGGGAAAATAGAGTTATTTTTCATAAAAATGCATCATTTATATTAATGTAATGATTTATGGTTATTTTAGGTAAAGGAATATTGTTTAATTTCTTAATTTTAGTTTCTCATAGGGTGCCTATCAATGGATAGCTAGAACCCCACAAGAACGAAAGCTCTTTGGCATCCCCAATAGTTATTAAAAGTGAAAAGGAGTTCTGAAACCAAAAGTTTCTTCTTAAATCCAGAGCTTTCCAGTAGGTATTTCCAAGAAGATGGTTCCATGGAGGTGACACATAGACATGTCACCCAAGGCCCCGGGACAGAGGCACAGGGTCTTTCCCTCCTTCAGCCTGGCTACTCTCACCCCCATCTGCCCACCTCCCCTCCCTCCTCCCCCCTTCCACCACCCTCCACCGACTCCTCTCTTCTCCATCCCATACCTAACTCACTGCCAGACTCCCACAGGCCCCCTCCACAACCCCATCTGACCCAGCTACCATTTGTAGCCTGCAGTATATTTCTAGAACAAGTCTGATCATGCCCTTCCTTAGAAACATCCTCAGACCCCATGCTGACAACAAGAAAGACACCAAATTCCTGAGTAGCCTGCGAGCTGTCCCCACACAGTGCTGACCCTGGTCCACCTGCCGCCCACCACTGGCCCACCTGGCCCTTTGTTTTGAGCCCTGCTGAATCCCTCCCCACTCCCCAAGCATTCCAGAAGGCTCTCATCACTGTGCTTCTGCATATGCTTTCCTCTCTACCTGGAATGCTCTTGTTGGTTTGGCAAACCTCAAGATTCAGCTCATCAGCCCTGAGTTCGCAAATAGAATGAGTGGCTTGGTCATCTGTCTACCAGACACTTTGCTCACACCTCTATTAGAACGCACTGGAGTGTCATTTATCTGTATCTCAAGAAACTGTGAACTACATTCCCACCTATGTGCCTCAGAATCACCAGCACCTGGCAGTGCTAGTATATTGGAGAGTTCAACAGAGTTTTCTTCAGTTAATTCCCAAAGCTGAAAATAATCTTCCCTCCTGAAATATTTTTTCTTGGGTCCCCATCTCATTGAATGGCATTCCACAGACCCCAAGAAGGAATCTCAAGGTCACCTCTCACTCTTCCCTTTCCCTCCCTTCTACACCCAACAGGACAGTTTCGACTTCCTGCTCGTTTTTCACAAGCACAGCCTCTGCTTTACATCACAGCACCTTAGTTCATCCATTCATTCATCCATCCATCATGCATTCATTCATGTAATAAACACTTCCTGATCACCTCCTAGGCACTAGGCACTGTGCTGGGACCCAGTTCCATAAAAACTAATATACAGTCCAATTTCAATTTGTTCTTGACCTATTCAGGAAAACAGACCAAAAATGTAAATAACAAGCCATAAATCATGACAATAAGCACAATACTTTCAAATAGAAAAAAAAGGTGCTTTCAAAACTCAGGTGAGGGGGTGCCTGGGTGGCTCAATGGGTTAAGCCTCTGCCTTCGGCTCAGGTCATGATCTCAGGGTCCTGGGATCGAGCCCCTCACCAAACTCTCTGCTCAGCGGGGAGCCTGCTTCCTCTTCTCTCTCTGCCTGCCTTTCCGCCTGCTTGTGATCTCTCTCTGTCAAATAAATAAATAAAATCTTAAAAAAAAAAAAAAAAAAAAAAACTCAGGTGAGGAAGGACTTATCTTCCTTTGAGGGGAAAGGAAAGGCCAGAAAGGCCCTCACAGAACTGGACAATGAAGGACCAGCTGGCTTTTCCCAGTTGTGGAAGAGCTGTGGTATCTCTCCCAAGGGATCCTGGGGAAGCCTCCTCACCACAATCCCACCCACCACAACACTAATCCAGCCAGTCCACGGACCAAGATTTCTGTCCCTCCATCCTGTACAGACTAAATGTCATAGATCTCGATTAGGAGAGTCACGGCCCTCTCCACCAGGCCTGGCCCCCTCCCCAGCCCCCTTGGTCATGATCTTCTAGTCCATCTTCACCTTCTGCTCCTTGACCAGCAACCAGTCCTTCCCCTGGGGATGATAGTTCTCTCAGACTGGGGTCCAGCTTTGGTCTTTCCATGGAGGAAGAGGACCCTCACCCAGCCTAGCAGGCTAGCCTCACACCAGGCATTGCTCATTGTCCCTGGAAGACCCATTGGTTTCATCCAGACCCTTCCTCCCTCTTTCCAGAGGCCCGCCCCTTCCTGCCCCAGACCTGACTGCTGTCATCTCCGTCCTTCCCAATCCTGCTAGCCCAGCTACGCCCCCACCTCCACACCTCCCTGCTTATGCATGCAGGTGGCACTTCTTTTGATCCACAGGACAGAGAAGGGAAGAGAGAGGAAGGCTGGGAGAAAGAAGAGAGAGAGGGAATGAAAGTGAGAGAGAGGGGAAAAGAAAAAAGGCTTCCCAGGCAGCATGAACACAGCACTTCGTGTTCAGTGTTTCCACATTACCTTCGTGTACAGACTCTTCCTTCAACTTCCCAGCACGCCTGGGGGGAGACGAGAGATAACAGCCTTCCCTTTTCACAGGTGAAGAAACTAAGGCTCCGAATGGCCCAGGGTCAAGGTTATATAGTAAGAGGCAGAGACTGACAATACTTAGATGCCAAAAGTGACATGTTACTTAGAGTTGTGTTCAAGATGGAAGTAATATCTTACTACTACAGAAATGGAAAAACCAAAATATAGCTGAGCTGGGTGACTTCTCTTTAGTCACAAAGTAAGAGCTGCAAGGAGAGTCCATGCTTGTTTTAGAACTCTGTGGTCTGGTATGACAGCATCATAAACATTTTCAAAAGGAAGAGACCTGGGGCTTTTACCTGGGCTGGGGGAATGAGAGCAGCTGTATTGAGGCCCCGTCCTCAGCAGCTCTCCACAGAACCCATAGGTTCCAAAAGAGTTCATTTTCTTCTTACTTTTTTTTTAAGATTTTATTTTTTGGAAGTAATCTCCACACCCAACGTGGGGCTCGAACCCACAGCCCCGAGATCAAGAGTTGCACGCTCCAGCCACTGAGCCAGCCAGGCGCCCCAAAAGATCCCCTTTTCTAAGGAGACTTTTGAAAGGTTATGCGTGGGACAGGCAGCTGTTTTCACACAAAATTAACTGAAAGAATCCACCTACTTCAGAGGCTTTCTTTGCCCCCTTGAGATTTTAAAACCAACTTCATTTCCTTTTAAAATTTCTAAATAAGAAACCTGAGGTGGGCGCGAAGGCGGGTGGTGGCATCTGTCCTCTGGAGCCTCCCCTGGCCCTCAGGCCACCACCCTCCCCTTGAGATGCTCCAGTCTTTGAGCTACAACACTGTTAGCAACTTCTTACCCCTTTCTATTTTTAAGTCCTGAAAGTATGAACAATTTCATTTCAGTTTTCTTCCTCAAGCTTGACTGGAAGTCACAAACAGCACAGATGATTAATCAGTAACAGTGTGAAAATCTTCAGTCTCCTCGGGAGCTCTTACGGTGCTCCCAGCACTTCCCTGTGGTTCATGGTCAAGGCAGCCATGGAGATGGGTTCGTGTTGAACCCAGCGTTGGAGATGGACTCACAAAACAGCAGGAAAGGAAGGAAGGAAGAGGGAGGGAGGAGTGGGAGAACTTTCTAAGGATGAGAATCAGAACAGACCTGTTCCTCCCAGAGTCAGCCAGCCCAGGCTGGGGTCCTTAACCTCTGATTGGAAGAGCCCATGAGGAGGAGAATGCACAAGTAACTGAAGAAGGAGAGAAGGAGAGGACGTTAGAGAGATCAGACGCAAAGAGAGCCAGCAGCTCACAGGCACCCAGTGTTTTATAGTGAAAAGGTGCTTTCTTACATGTTAACTTTGGAGATCTTGACCTCTGTGGGAAACAGAAACGGGCTACCTCATGATTCATGCTGCAAGTAAGAAAACTAAAGAAAAGAGAGGTCTTGCCAGCTTACCCAGGGTCCTGCAGCTAATAAATGGAAGGGACTAGACTCCCAAGGGTAATGATTCCTGTTACGGCCTGGCCCAGAGGGTGCTGCCCGGGGCTGCTCAGGGGGCCCCAGAACAAGGCAAGCCCATGGGCCCCGGGGTCTGTGCATTCATCACGTTGCCCTTGACCCTCAAATGCGTTTCCGTTCACCTTTGTGAGCCCCAGACCAGTCCAGCACATTACAACCACCAGAAGTCACCCCCATGGTGAGGACAAAGCTCTGTGAACACAGTCTGTGCAAGTGTTCTAGTTCAGCTCAGGTCAGTGGAGTCGTCAGTTAGATTTTGGGGAAGTCACAGAAAGGCGAAAACTTCAGCCCACAAGATTGTGTTCTGGGCCTGGATTTTGGGGGATTTTTAAAGGGCATTATAATTTTTTTTTTTAAATTGTGGTAAATTATACATAACATAAAATTTACCATAGGAACTATTTCTAGGAGTGCAGTTCAGTGGCATGAAGCAACCATCACCCACCATCCATTTCCAGAACTTTCTTATCTCGTAAGACTGAAACCTTGTCCCCATTAGACACTAACACCCCACCCTCTCTCCCCCACCTGCCTCTGGGAACCACAGCTACTCTGTCTCTATGACTCTGACTACTCTGGGTAACTTCTAGAAGTGTAATCATACAGTATTTGTCCTTTTCTAACTGGTTTATTTCATTCAGCATAATGTTTTCCAGATTCACTTTGTTGCAAGCATATGTCAGAGTTTTCTTCCTTTTTAAGGCTGAATAATTTTCCATCGTGTATAGAGACCACCTTGTGTTTCTCCATTCACCTGTGGATGGACGCTTGGGGTGCTGCCACCTTTTGGCCATCGTGAGTAGCGCTGCTGTGAGCCTGGGTGGGCTGGCCTTTTGTTTTCTCCTTGAACTTGTCCCTTGCCCTTCTGTACTGCTACAGGTTACTTTGGATAGACACACAAGTATATACATACAAGCCCTGATCCATAACCCAGGGCAGCTCTGAACCAAAGTTTTTCCAAAAACCACCCTCTACTATCTTCCACACGCACCCTATTCACGTGTCAGGTGTCCGAGCTCCTGGGCTGGCATCACCTGGACTTGGAGGGCACTTCATAATCCCAGAGGCATGGCTAAGGTTTCTCATAGCCACAGGGAATTAGCTAAAATTGTCTTCAGTGCCTGCCATTACGATTTATTTCCATATCCTCACGGGCCTTCTCAAAGACCACAGAGCCATCCTTTAGGGGGAGATGGGGCTTGGGGCTGCTCCCAGATCTTCCTGATCAGCCAGGAAGCTAGACACTCACAAATCAGTATCTAGTCTAAGAAATGCTTTCAAGAGCCTTGAGACAGGTTGAAAATGTGCCTGAGAGTTCTAGGCCTTCTGATTTCATAAAATTAAAATATCTTCAAAGATCCCAGCAGATGGGCAGCTGGGTGGCTCAGTGGGTTAAGCCTCTGCCTTCTGCTCAGGTAATGATCTCAGGGTCCTAGGAACGAATCCCACATCGGGCTCTCTGCTCAGAGGGGAGCCTGCTTCCCACTCTCTCTCTGCCTGCCTCTCTGTCGACTCATGATCTCTCTCTCTCTTTGTCAAATAAACAAATAAAATCTTAATAAAAATTAAAAAAAAAAAATAAAAAGATCCCAGAGGCAGTTTTTCCTTAAACTGAAGAGTTCCTCCAATTAATCTTTCTCCTATGAAAGCTCTCTTGAAATTAAATATAATTGTGCTAAAATGAGCAAGGATTTCATCTAATTTTTTTTATCTGCATACTGAACATCATGTAAGACACAGGAAATCAAATCGCTCAAAATAATGCTAATCCAAGAACAGCCCTCCAACCTGCCCCTGTCCCCAGTACTGTCTCCTCCGCCCCTAGACCGGAGTCTTCAAGGGGCCTGTCAAAATGACTGATGGCTGGGTCAGGCACTCACCGGCAGAACGCGTAGCTCCAGCCCCCACAGTGGGCTCAAGTTCCCCTCTGCACCCCGGCTGTCCTCCCAGTTAGCCAGGCGTCACTGGAGCTGGGGGAGCACAGCCCGGCTGGGCCACACAGCCATCAGGAGGCACTTCACGCCAAAGCTCCCCTTCCTGGACGCCAGAGTCACGGTCAGCTGCCAAGGTAGTTTTGCTTTGAGCTTTAAAAAAAAAAAAAAAGGAAAAGAAGAAAGCAATCAAATGAGGGAGGCAGATGTGAAGCCTTCGCCCCAGCATGAGTCACCGAATCAAAGTTTAACAACCACATGCAAAACAATCTCTCTGAGGGCACGGGCAGGCTGCACAGGAAAGCCAGGAGAGACTCAGAGAACAAACGCGCTCACAGTTTCCGCTCCACGTTTCCACTCAGGCCTTCAGCAGAGAAGAGCATCTGCTCTGAGGTGCTCCCGAGGAGGGTTAGTGCTCCTGACTTCACAGAACTAAAGCATGCAGGAGTGACGAGCGTCCAGGAGAGAACAGGAATGCCTACCAGCTCGGGGTGCCCAGGCGCCTGGGCGCAGAGAAGGACCCTGGCCCCAATGTCAGAGTTCCACATGAGTCACAGAAGCCTTCAGGCTCAGGGCATGGGCCTCCGTCTGCATCAGGATGGGGAGTGTCCACGATGTGGCTCTGGATGGGGCGGCGCCAGCTTCTCCAGCCACGGAGCAGGGAGCCTGACGAGGGGCCCACCTGACAAGGGCATCTGCCAAGCAGCCAGGGGAAACACACCCTGAACTTGGCATCTGTTTCCTGCATTGGGGGAGGCCCGATGGGGTCAGAGTGAGAGCAGAAAACAGGCACCACAATTGGCCCATCTCCACCTCCCAACAGTGACAGGTCTCTAAAGTGACTTGCCTGAGGACACCGAGTGGACAAATTGGTCAAGCTGGGTTTAGAATCTGAGAGTTCAGGAATGGCACAAGTTGACTGGAATTTGCTGCTCTTCTTTTTCTTTTTTAAAAGATTTTATTTATTTATCCGAGAGACAGAGACAGAGCAAGTAGGAGGAGGGACAGAGGGAGAGGGACAAACAGACATCCCGCCAAGCAGGGACCCTGATGTGGGGCTCGATCCTAGGACCCCAGGATCTGACCTGAGCTGAAGGCAGATGCTTAACCAACTGAGCCACCCAGGCGCTCCTACTACTCTTCTTTCTTTATCCCCCTTCTGTCTCCCACGGAAGATGTGAGGCAGTCTAGAATATTAAAACATGGATGGAATGGGATCATTGCCACAAAAGTACAATCAGATATGATTAGAACAGGGGGTGCCTGACTGGCTCAGTCAGTAGATCCCATGACCCTTGATCTCGGGGCTGCAGGTTCCAGCCCCATGCTGAGGGTAGAGATGACTTAGAATGATTAGAACAAAATCGAACATGGTATCAGAACCTAAGTTTAAAGAGTCACTTCCTCTGGGCCCTAGCTCCAGCTTTGAGTTTCCTGGCACAACGGCCTTCCTAAGGACAACCACGGCTGGGTTAGTACTGTACTGGGAGCCTTCCATTCCCACGTCCTAGCCCCACAACCACTGATGGCCTCGCGGTCATTATTCCCACTTTGAGACAGGATCATTGGGGTGAGAAAGGGTAACTCAACTGCCCGAGTTCACTCAGTAAGGGTTGGGTCAGTACTGAAATCCAGGACCCCAGAGCTCCCCAAGAACTCTCTCTACACTGTCACCAGGGGCCTCTCCGCTGTCAGATCCTGAATAAAGCATGCAGGCTTTCCCCATGAAAGAAACATTTTGCTGGTATTACATTTTAGGAAAAATCTAAAAATCCTTATGCTGAGTAACATTATGAGATGGTATTTTCTATTCAAGTCCTATAGAAGCTCAGAGGTCATGGGGGGAGGCCAACCCAGGAGGGAATTCTCTGAGAATCAGGCCGAGGGCCACCCTGCTGTGCACAGACCACCAGCTCAGCCTGGGCAATGAAACAAGGATCCCTATTTGTGTTCAACCCCAGGAGAGTAGTGCCTGTGCTGGGGAGAGGGACCGGAGGCGCCCCCACCACGGAAAGAAAGACGTTTGAGCCTGCTCGACCAATCAGGCACAGGCCCCAGAATTCTGTGTCTGAAATCTTGGAGACATTGTATAGATGAGAAAAATTGTGATTCCTCTGTCTAAGAAAAGGACCCCCAACCGTATGGGCCTGTGATGGTATTGGATCCGGAGGAACCTGGGCTGAGTCATCTACAGCTAAAATGACTTAGTTGCCCGACTCGAGGCGCCAAAAGGATGAAGCAATGGTTCAGGCTGCTTATTCCCAAGTGAATGAGAAATAGGGTCTACCCGAGGTAAGGATCTTCATGAGGATGTCACTGACCCAAAACTAGCCTGTGCTCACGACAGACAGAAATGAGACAGCAGAGGGGACAGGGCAGGTGGCAACAGCTCTCAGAAAGCCAGGAGCGCCCTGACAAGGGTGACAAGGGTGGGAGGGCAGGCCTGGCACCCTCCACTCCTCTACTTTGCTTACCCTGGCCTTGCACCTGCCCTGTTCTGGCCCTCGGATGAGGAGGAGGAGGTCTGTGCTTTCAGGAAGGGCCCACAGGTGTTGAGCCAGGGGATCCTAAGTGTGGGGACAGACCCTTCTCCGGGAGGGGCGCTCAAGCATGCAGAGAGATGACCGGGTGGCCTGGGGAGGCTCAGGCGATGGACCGAGGGCAGGGCCCCGGGGCCTAGTGGCCTTCCCTCTCTCCACAGCTTCAGGGAGCACTGAGAACAGTCTTGCTCTGTATCGGGTTTTCTCCAGAAGCTAACATGGCCTGGAGGAATTCGCAGCAGTGGCCTGGGGCCTGCAGAGGAGGTGGGTTGGCTGGACAGCTCGCAGTCACGCTCCGCCATCGGACTCCTCCCCAGGAGTCGGGAGGGTGACACATTCTGCTTTCTGCCCATCCGATGGGTGAGAAATGCTACAGCCCTTCTTGTGGTTATTTTGACTTTCATTTCCCGGATTGCGAGGGAACATGGGGATCGCTTTGTGTTTACTGGCCAGGCAATTTTCCTCTTCTTCCCTCCGCGGCCCACACTGCTCCCCTGAGGGCTTCTTCTTACTGAGGCTGGTCACCTCCGCAGAGTCTCATGCCAAGTCTCGCCTGTATGCTGCAGCTGTCTGGGCCTAGCCCAGTCCTTTAGCTTTGTTTATGGTGTTCTGCAAACGTTTTAGCTTTCGTGTGGTCAAAATTGTGGGCTTTTCCATCATCATTTGTGCCCTTTGAATGTTGTTTAAGAAGTCCTCCCTATCCTGAAATTGGAAATATGTTTTCCTGTATTTCCTCTAAAGTGGCAACGTTTTGTGTTTTACAATCAGGTCTCAAATCATGATCTGGAATGTGTTCTGCTGGATGGTATGAGAAAGGATCTAAGCTTATCATAGTTCAGGTCATAAACTCAGAGTCAGACCACCCGCCACCTACTAGCTGTGGAAACCTAAACAAATCGTTTAATCTCTCTGTGCCTCAGTTCCCTCATCTGGGTAATGGGGATAGAAATCACATCTATGTCATGGGGTATGAGGAGAATTCAATTAACCCATGCATGAAAAGTGCTTAGAGCAGCCCTTGGCACCTACAAATTGCTCAGTGGATGGCCGTTACTATTTTGAGCACAAACTTTAATGAGGATAGGATTCCTGGAAGTGATGACGGCTAAGTCTAGCACCCAGGAGAAACTGAAACAGTGTCAGGGAGCTACAGAGACGAGGGAAACAACACTCTCGGTCCTCAACAGGAATGGGTATGCCCACAGCAGACACCGAAGCAAAGAGGGGAAGCAGTTGTCATTGCTGTGTGGGGTCAGCTTTTTAAATCTAATTTAAAACAATTGTGCATTTGAGACAATTGTAGTTTATTAAATAATATCTATGCATCACTCCTCTGAGTTCCATCTGAGATGTGATCTTAACTACAGGGATCAAGGCAACAAAGACTGTTAAGAACATTCCAGTTTCATTTCACACTCTGCTCCAGGCTGAGAGCACCAGCACCAACGGAACATTTCTGCCCCTGAGCAGGTAGAGGCAAGACTAGAAGCGAAGGGCTATGGTCACCTTATGGTAATGTGGTAAATGTTAGCCTAGGGCAGGGTTTCTCAACCTTGGCGCTACTGACGTTTGGGGCTGGAAAATTCTTTGGGGTGCAGGGACCATCCTGGCTCCTGGAGGATGTTTGGCCCGTTCTCTGGTCTCCAGACTCACCAGCACCCAGGAGCACAACCCATCATCACATTATGACAACCACAGATGTTCCCAACATTGTCAAGTGTCCCCATGAGAGCAAAAGGGCTCCTGACTGAGAACCACTGGACTAGGAGGTCCGTCAAAGAGGGAACTCCCACTCTGTGAAGAGGCAGAGGAGGCTTCCTGGAGGAAAAAAAAACGCTCAGCTGATTTGAGACAACAGGCTAGTGTGTGTTATCTGGGACATTCCAGGTGGCAGGAAAGTCTAGGTGTAGGCTCAGAGGCACAGGGAAGCCTGGCAAGATCCAGAAGGCTGGTGCTCAGCCTTGAAGTGAACAGCTCAGCTCAGGAAAAACTTCAAAAACTTTTCGAGAAGGCTTTTAATTTTAAAAAGTAGAATTAAATGGGGTGCCTGGGTGGCTTAGTCAGTTAATCATCTGCCTTCAGCTCAGGTCATGATCTCAGGATCCTGGGATCAAGCCCCACATCGGGCCCCCTGCTCAGTGGGGAGCCTGCTTCTCCCTCTCTCTCTGCTGTTCCCCCTGCTCATGCTCTCTTTCCCTCTCTCAAATAAATAAAATCCTTAAACAATAAAATATAATTAAATTATATTAACTGAATTATTAATGAATATGTTCTTTCACCCAGGCTTTTCTCTTTTTTTTTTTTTAAGATTTTATTTATTTATTTGACAGGCAGAGATCACAAGTAGGCAGAGGCAGGCAGAGACAGAGAGGGGGAAGCAGGCTCCCTGCTGAGCAGAGAGCCCGACGTGGGGCTCTATCCCAGGACCCCAAGATCACGACCCGAGCCGAAGGCAGCGGCTTAATCCACTGAGCCACCCAGGTGCCCCACTTGTTTATTTATTTATTTTTTAAGCAAAATAATTTTCATTTCTGGGTCATAATGAAGCTACCAGGTTGGGAAAACGGATGGTCTCAGATGGTCTCAAAAATGACATCACAAATATAATGTCTGCCTGGGCCCTCGCAAACTTCCTTTATTCCTTCTCCATCCCAGGCTGCTGACTTCACTGCCCTGCTGTTTACTGCCTGGTTTGCTAACCTGGGTTCAGATGCGTCTGTGTTTGGTCCTGGAGACATTCTCTGCTTAGAGAACAAGATCATATTTCTATAACCAAAATAAGCTGGCATTCTGGAAAATCTTCCTAAAACTGCTGTGACACATAGCTT